ACCCCCCCCCCCTCTCCTATCCAAAACTTCAACGACATCAAAGTTGAAAGCAGACCCCGTTCTCGCGACATCGGTTGCCGCTGCTGATTTCAGGTATCCAAGTACCCGACTGGGGTTCACGGCTGGCTTTCGTCGTACTCGCCCTCTCAATAGCTGCACTGAAGGTATAAGACGGCTGACTGACCCTTGTTTTCGATAGGATCTTTTGGCCGGATTGTCGGAGTTAGGCCCGTGAGCGGGTCCAGTTTCAGGTGTCGCGATGAATCTTTTCACAGATACGGTGACTAGACCGTGCTCCGCCATGGCCTGGGCTGACTGAACTCTTCGCTCCGGTTATTCTGGGGAATTCGATTCATCACAACGAGTAAGCAATTTTCGACATCTGACGTCTTGGCAGCTCAAAACTGTGCTCAGACCTGGCTTATTGCATCGAAAGTGCTAACTCGCGTAAACAACTCAGTATTCCATAAATGTTTTGGCAGATTTTGAATAATTCATATTGACCCAACTGTGAAAACTCGGCGCCTCGGTGGGATTAGAATCCACGCAGTAATGGAAAGGCTTTAGTACAGTCAAGGCTCTAACCACTTGAGCTACGAGGCCCCGTCGGACGACGCGAGTTCACTGCGTAGGCTCGAATCATACCGAGGCGCCGAGTTTTTCACAATTGGGTCAATATGAATTACTCAAAATCTTCCAAAATATTAATGAATTACGTGAGATCGGTAGTCATCTGGTGGATTCTAGGTGAATTACTTAGGAAATCCTGCTTGGGCAGTCAACTTACTGTATCAGATTTTGTGGATTCCAGGCGTTGCAGTAGGTTGGGCGGGAAACTTGACCCAAATGTGATAAAACTCGCGTCGTCCGGCGGGGCCTCGTAGCTCAAGTGGTTAGAGCCTTGGCTGTACTAAGGCCTTCCCCTTACTGTGTGGGTTAGAATCTCACCGAGGCGACGAGTTTTTCACAGATGGATCAATATAAACTCAGTAATCAAAACGAAACGAGCACACTTCGCATGGATCAGTGGTCTGTGCTGGAATCTTAGCAGAAAAATGAGAGGGCAGACTTCACCCCTTGCAGCCTTGTCATTTCGCCCATCAAATCTCTCCTTATAATTCACCATTTCGGGGAAGACGGATTAGGAGTCGTGGCGGTGGGGATAAAACAGCACAGATGGTCACAACAGTGAAAATCGGAAATACAGTATGGGTTTTGATTTTCTTGATGAGAAATAGGCGAGGAGAAGATAAATGAGAGGAAAGGGAAAGAGAAAGTGACCTGACAAGAATTGCTATACAAGCAGGACCTTTGAGTTAGGCGGCATCCACCATAGAATTGAAGGCGTCTCTTACGGAAACGTGCAGGGTTTAATTTTGGAATAAAGGGGTTGGAAAACGCTTTGCGACACAAAGGCAGCCAACGAAAAATTGCACAAATTTCCCGGGCCACTTACCCTAGCATACGACGAAATCGTGCGCGCAGGGAGTAGTTCTGGGAGTCGCCCGCAAACCTCCGCAGTTTTGGAGTGAGACACTCACTAAAGATTAAAAAGTAGCGGCGTCGAGTAAGGTAATCGGGGTTGCAATGAAGGAGCGGAGACACCGTAAAGCAAGACTTTCGGCTTACCACTGTGAAGGGCAAAAACGTTCGAGACCAACTGGTGTCATAATTAAAAGCCCCAAAATAGACTCTCATCCGACCAGGGAATTTCGAGAAGGTAAGTCTGTAGACAGCTGGTCTGTTCTTCTCTTGTCCAGCAGTGGACAGTTCATAAAGTCGTCGTGGGACTGACTACTTAGGCAATCAGACAGTACATACAACACAGCTTCCTACCCGTCACAGCCATTCAACCTCTGGACTTTAACATCCTGAGTAGTGCAATAAATGAACGTTAAGAGATTACGTGCGGTTTCTGTTTTACTGTGGCCAATAAAGGCGAAAATTTGCAATGCAACTCACAAACTGGGTTAGAACTCCAATCTGGTCCGAGTGGAAGTCGACCCCTACCTAAGCGAGATTACGATTCTAAAATGTTTCCCAACGACTATCCGGTAATGCCATCCCCATCATCAATAAGGCGGGAGGCTAAATAAATAAATAAGTGTAGACAGACTAAAGCCAAAGAACGTACTCCGCGTGCATGGCCTCCCACTTTAGGACCTCCCGCCATGCCAACTCGTTATTGGCGTTGTGAATGCGGATGATGTTGTCCATGTCCTTCGGTGAGATCTGATCGTCTCGCCA